TGTTGCACGTGGAAATCAGATATAGGCGCATATGATATGAGACTGGGAGGAGAAAATCTTGGACTAGAGATGTTGATGGAGACTTTAAGAGACAAAGCAGAGGTAGGCGGCGATGAATAAAAAAGAAAGCTTAAGTGAAAAATACAAATTATAACACGTTTGAATTGAGTGAAGAAAATTTAATTTTTTTTAAATAAAATTAAATTTAAGTTTTATAAATGAAAAAAATAAGTGGTAAGAGAATTTTTTCTTATAAGATCTGACGTAACTCGATTTCGAATTAATTGTAATTTAATATAATTATCAAATATTAAGATTTTAATATAGAAAAAAAAAACGTGGGCCTGCAGTAGAAGTTGGTAAACTGGAGGCCCATACGGTAACTTCGGTGTTGGGCCTCCAAGACCATTGCCACACCAGTGGCCTTTATGGTACTGCCACACTGCCACTTGCTTCTGCCGTACGCTCAGCAAAATTACTGGACCGTTGCCGCCGGTGTACCGGTATGGCAAGCCGATTACGATGGCAGCAACGGCAAATTGCCCATCCCTACTTGGTACCCTTAATCTATCCACTAATTATATAAGAGTTTTTTTAGCTTCCATTGTTAGGACACAGCTTAAAGTTTCTTTTTGTCATAAATATAAATAAAAGATATAAAAATTTATATTAATTTTAGTGTTAATGGTAAGTAAATAAATTTAATTAAATAATTAATAAATTAAAAATTAATTTTAATTTTTTTAATAAATTTATAATAAAAAATATATTTATTATAATTTTAACGTGCACTGAATACTTCCAGGGTTCTTTTACATTTTTTTTTATTTTGAACAAAAGAAGATGGGGTATTCAAGGAGAGTTTGCCCTCTTTGTGAAAACCCTGGACCTATTGGTTTGACGGCATTAATGGGCATAAATGGAGCGTTGGAGCAGACTGATGACAGAAGTAAATATGAGAGAGGGACTCGTCGAACTTCCCCAGTACTATTATTACTATCTGCTTTCGTTTACAGCTTGGAGACATGGACCATTAAGAATACGATGGCCAGTTGGCTGTGCTTCTTCCCAAGTTCTAAATAATTTGAATAAATTAAAGAGGAGGAAAAAGGTTTTCCCTATATCGTTGGCACTTGGATGGATCAATAACGTTGGAGTTGGGTGTAGTTGAGGTTACAATATATGCATGGCTCAATTCGTTCGAATCATCAATGCAGGTAACAATGCTAATTGCCATGCACCTACTTTATACAGAGCTTATTAAGTTGAAGACGGTGAGGTTTTAATGGTTTTTAAGCAATAAAACTCCCAAGAACTAATTCCTTTTCCATTTTCAAGAATTACTGCAATAGCCATCAATTATTTACATGGGGAAAATGAGGAGGATGAGAATTCAACCCTCAAAGCAACAGTCAAATGACTTTAAAGTTTAACAACACAACTGTTAGAGCTTAAATTTCTAGGAAAGAAGTTTCAAGGTTGAACTTTAAAGTTTAAAATGGAAAGAAAGAAGAAAAATAACTGTTTAAATAGCCCGCGTTAAAATACATTTGCAAAAAGCACGCATGGACAGTAGGCAATGCTCCACTGTCTTACCTAGGCACTGGGCGGTGGAGTTAAGTGTTTATTTTATTTTATTTTATTTTATTTTTTCATATCATTTTGTTTTATTTTCACATTATTTTACAAAAAATAAAAAACGCTTGAAGACAACACCTAGGCACTGCCTAATAACTTCTGCAACACTAATGTATAAAACAAGAGTCAAAACACTTACAAACCATAAGATTAATTAAACCATTTATTATACTTAACCAAATCTAGTGTACGAAGTTACAAAACATGTCTAACAAGTGGTGACAATTAGTGCTCCTTAACACATCAAATTAAAGTCATTTTTTCAATATAAAATAGGTCGTTCCATCATGACGAGGGAATTTGCAAGATTATTATTATTATTTTTTTTTAGGAGGAGGTGGGGTGAGGGTGAAGAGTGGGAAGGAGGGATGAGATTTTTATAGTTTAGGGAAATGAAAAATGAAGTTGTTATTACCTCGAATTCTACGAGGCCCACATGCCACAGATGACAAGCCGGTCCCCACTTTCTCTTGTACCATATGTCCATCACCAGCATGGCCACCAGTATGGGGACACTGCTTAGAAGGCCTCGCAAAGAAAATAGGGCATTTCTAATTTCAATTTTTAAAGTTTACAGCAATTTCAATTATTGGTGCAAGGAGGAAATTTTTAACTAAATAGAGGTTTGATAATGGATGCTACACCAAATTTATCAAGCTATAATAGAAGAATGAAATAAAGGTTCATACCTAAATATACGGCAGTTGGAATGAAGGCACCCAGAGCTTCCCTAGGGAAGATGCTAATGGACCCTTCCCCTCACCTTACTGTCAGCCTACTAAACAACCACACTTAAGAGGCTATTTATTGATGAAGATTAGAGATTCAAGTTAATGTAATACTTTATACAATATTTTGTTTAGTATAGAGAAATCCATTTATCCAACTATAGTATTTAATTATAGCACCATCACCTCAACTGTTAGATTGCAAAATTAACAACAATTAATTTATATAAAATTTACATGCTTGTAGGTGAGTTGTAAATCTAAATCAATTTCACTTTTAACTTTATTTTCAATATTTAAGATAAACACCATGTCAAATGAAAATCACAGCCAGTCTGATCCATCTCAGCAATAGTATACAATTTGCAAGAAAAGTTGTAATGACATCACTACAATAATGCAAACATTAATGTGACTATTTGACCTCATTTCTTATTTCAGCAAAAACAGGAGAGCAAAGAGCAATCTATCCTCTGTAGTCTGCATCCCTTTTGTGTTTGTTGTTGTTTATGTCCCTGAATTGGGATGTTGTTCCATTTTTTCTTTTTTTTTCCCCCCCTTTTTATAAAACAGTTGTTACTTAGAAGCAATTCAGACTTGTGGGAGAGAATTAGAAGATATATTCTGCACTTACAGTTTTGAGTGAAGCTGAAGTTCTAATTTGACTTCTTACCTGTGCATACACGAGGGATTAGTGGCCATCAAGATGGTGCTGAGGACACCTAGCAGCACAGTACAGTTACAGACAATGAATCAAGAGCTAAAACAGATTAATAAAGTTACCCAAAAAATCAAACAACAAAAAACTTCAGGAATCAGCACCATCAAACATGGCATTCAATAACAAGTGGCTTCACCTGCAACAAAATTGGCTCCACAAGATTGTCTTTATTTAACTTTGAACAAATTTTTTAGTGGCCTCATCCAAACAAATATAATTTTTTTTTCTTCGAAAACAAATGAATAAAAAGGAACAAAAAAACTAAAAATTAAGATATCTTGATTTTAAAAATGTCAAACTTTTAATTTTAATTATATGATTAATAAGATTGTAATAAAATTTACATAATATTATACTTATTTTATGACGTTTATTCTTATATATCTTAATATTTTTAATGTTATAATGTGATGTATAGCAAAAAAAAATTTTAATTCAGATACATACCAACAAGTATCGGAATTTTTACCCAAGTGCAGAGATGTCACTACTTGCATCCTGTGATTGTAGGGACATGTGATCGTAGGGACAAATGGATCAGAGTTTAGCATACCGACAACCAGCAGCATTAAATGAATTCTGTTAAGATAGTAATAACTCAGGTCCAATTGGTTGTTTCGTTCTCTTGATTTCCTTCAATTTAAGGAGAAAGTCTACTATATCACCGGTATACCACGTCACTCGTATCCCTACCCAATCAAATATTGCCAGCTCACATACAAAAATAATTTAAAATTTTGTGTTAATATTGATACTGAGAATGGCTTACGCCGTTACAAACTGCAATCCCCAATCCTTCGCACGCTTTTCTTCCTCACCCTAACTTTTCAGTTCACTGACTTCGAAGCCACCAATCCCACCCCGACCCTCATCACCATCGCAACCTCTGAGAGATAAATTGATACAAAATCAGACTACTCCTCCATTATTTTCACTTTCATCCTTGATTTTTTCATTAATGACATGTGGATTAAAGGTATGACCCATTTTTTTAGTCTGCTTTAGTTTCACAAACAATAATATGAACTCAGTTCGTGAAATTAGTGTTGATTGAGTTTTTAATACGATTTGTTGCAAATAAAACTAATTAAATTAGAGGTTGTAGTAAAATTTTCAATTTGACCTTTACAATTTTAAAATATAGACTCTGTAAATGCTTAAGATTCTAAAATAGGGTTTACAGGTAGTAAAATACCCGATTGGAGTGCAATGATGATGTTATACTAGGATTTGGGGTCAAAACCCAAATGGATTCTTCCCCCACTTGTAGAAACTTAGAGAGATATGGGGGTCGGTTTGGTCTTTTGGAAGATTTGATGGAGAGGGGAGGGGTTGGTGCTCTGATTTGTTTGTGTTTTGCAATAACAAAATGGGTCTATAAAATAATCACAGAAAAGTCTAAGACAATTGATAATTTGTGCTTGTTGGCCTATCAAAAAAAAAAAAAAATGTTTATGTTATGTCGATGTTGCCTACAAAAATTTCTTTCAAAATTTTTAGATTTTTCATTCATGTCATGAGAATTTATAAACGGAGTCGAATTCTTGAGATCTTAGCGTGCTCTACGGAAAATAAATTTTTTTGCTTCTGTTTTGATCGAGGTGGAAGAGGAACAGAGGCAGCGAACTGAGTGAAGTGCAGGAAGAAAAGGGAGCATCGGAGAAGGGAGAACATAAAAGGTTAACGGTGTTAATAATTTTCTGGTTGCATGTGATGAGTTGGTTATGATTTGGCAGGAGGTGATTACCTGTCATTTTGTTATTGGACCGGGATACCACATCAGCTGGTATACCCGGGATATAGTAGACTTTCTCGATGATGATGATGATGATGATGATGAAAGTTCCAGTTTTAGAGTCCGGCACAGTCTGACCGCCGAACAGAGATCTCTTATAATAAAATTCCACTGCCAACATTCTCCTGTGTATTGCCCTCAGTAACACGCTGCGCCGCCATGCCCACCATTAGCGTCGGTAGGGATCATCTGTTCGCTGCATTAGGCAGAACTTACAGTAAGCTTGCTTCTTTATCTCATCACTGTTGGTGGACAATTTCTTGGTTAGTTTCGTTTTCATCAACACGGTATACGTTTTGCAGCACAAGAAGAGTTTGAGGATCTCTGTTTCCGCTTTGGGATTGAACTCGACGATGTGGTGAGTTGCTTCTATATGTGTGCTCCTTTTTCGCTATCATTTCTGGATGGGTGGAGGTTTTCTTTTTCTTTTTCTTTTTTTTCAAATTTTATAGTGTTTAATCTATATGTCAATCAGACAACAGAAAGAGCCATAATTAGGAAAGAGAAGCACTTGGAGGAGGAGGTTGACGACGATGAGGAAGTTATTTACAAGATTGAAGTTCCTGCCAACAGGTTCCCACTTTCTTCTTATTTTCTTTGCTTAATCTTGTATAAAAATCATACCTTTAGTACTTGATTGGATGGGAGTGTCCTGCTTATTTTCTTCTGTTGTTGGCTTGGAGCTGGATTAGTCATGTGAATGTGAAAGAAGAGTAGTGATGACTGATGACGACTTTATTTGTTATTTGGACAGATATGACTTGCTGTGCCTGGAAGGGCTAGCACAAGCTCTCCGTGTTTTCAATGGGATTGAGCAAATACCCAATTTCACAGTTGCTAACATTAGCAGGGACTCAATGCTTAAAATGCATGTCAAAAAAGAGGTGTGTTCGGGATTGGAACTAAAAATTGTGGGTATTTGGATGCTTTGT